ATTGCAAATATTTAATCTTAAAATGCAACTCCGGGAAGTTCTGTCGCACGCTTACCAAATTTGCATAATGTTCGGCAAATAAGCAATTTGTTGCAATTCTCTTAAGTCAATTTTTGCTGCTGTTCCGGAATTGTCAACTCATCTGCAGTTCCTGTGCAATCATGAAGTTGCATTGGATACACCAAGTAGTCCGCATTTATTGGAGTGTCATTTGCAAAACTTTTTGATGCAAGTCTAATTGAATTTCATAAAATTTCTGATATTTTAGTTGCTAAAATTGGAGAGGTTTGCGATTCGCAGGACCAGGAAAATGAAAATAATTTGATGAGTAAATTAATAATTAACAAACAAAAGTTATTACGGTGAAGGGTGTTAAATTATTCGCTTAATTCCAAATTTAAATGATATTCTCTAGAAATTCATTCACAGTTTTTGATTATTTTGAATTTCTAAAGTTATAAATTTCTTATAGAAAGTACTTAAAAGTACGTGAGAGTCAATAGTTCTCTAACGTGTAATTACCTTCTACATAGGTTTAATACCACACGGTGCTCACACGCATCAGTATAATACGACTATAAATAACAGTGGGGCATTAGAATGCCAAGGAATTCCGCGGGTATTAATTAAGGCTGTACGTTTGGATACGGTTTCCTCCTTGAGTGGGAGCGAGATCTATCTAGCACCATTGCTATTCTTTAGACCTCAGCACCCGGTTATACATTGCAATTCCATATCGAATTAAAGTAATAAATATAAGGCTGTACGTTTGAATACAGTTTCCTCCTTGAGACGGAACAAGGTCTATCTAACGCCATTGTAATTCTTTAGATCACAGCACCCGGTTATACATTGCAATTCCACATCGAATTAAAGTAATGATTATAGTCATTCTTTTTGCGTATTTTTGGGTTATGAGCACATTCACCACAATACTTCCATTAAAGAGACCTCTCACATTGAATGAGAGTAATGAATACAGTCATTCTATTGAACTCAATTTGGGTTTTCGATACTTCTATTAAAGAACCTAAATCTAAGTAGTCAGTGCAGCTGAAATTGTGGACCTTGAGCCCCATGATACCAAAATGACACTTTTGAATGGATACCGCAAGTTAAACTCACTCAGTACACTTCATACTCTAAAGAGTATAACGTCCATGCTTCTGCACCATATAGAAGCACAGGTAGGTTGAGCAAGTTATAGAGCCTAAATTTTTTTTGTTGATAGACAGCTCTACATACCAACTACCTACTAAGCTCTGAATAGCACTTATTGGTAACGGTGATTCTTCGCTTAATCTCCAGGCTGTCTTTGTTGTTATTCGTTACGGCGATGATAGCATAGCCACCAATCACTAGCTCGGTGCTCAAGGTACGCCCATTAGCTGATATATACCTCGTTTTGTTCGTATTACATTGACCAATTAGCCCATAAAAAGTAAAATTTATACAATATTATAATCATATTTTATTCTTTAAAATATTGATATTAATATATATGCTGTTATAAATTTTTTATTGGAGCAATACTCTTTTTAGTTAATTAAACTCTACGTACAAACACTTAACATACTAACAGATACCAGTGGTAGCCATTACGTATCCTGGTGTTGAGATACTTTTACCTCCAACTGACAAAGCAGGGAGCAAAGTTTTGCTACATTTTCCGCAACGTTAACCAAAGATTTATTTCATGCTGCAGTACTTCATGGAGTGCAAACAAGAGCAAAATAATCTTTTATTGTTTGGTTTCTATAGTCGACCATTAATGACATATATGCAGTTATTTTTTAAAATATTTTAAATCATTTAAGATACATATCTTCTAGTGATGATATATACTTAAAAGTGATACTTCTATTGCTATATGAAATAATATTTTGTAAGAATTATGTCGAAAAAATCTTATTTGTTATATCCACCTTCTACAAGCCAATCTACATAAATTCACATACATCCGCTCAACATATATATGTATATCGAATGTAGAGTTAAAATAGAATTTTTATATTATTTTAAAATAAAAGTCAAACTCTTATTTCTGGTTGTAGTGTATCCGGAAATAATGTTCGACAATAAAGAGCTGTGCGCCTTGCAATGCAATTGTATCTTACATTGTGTTATTTTGGTAAATATTGCAAAGCTTCAGTATGGCCAAAAGCGTAATACGATAACAGGTGGTTCCCGTTGGGAGCAAGCACATTATAGTGATGGTTTTCTAGCGCCATGAGACCTACATAGCTCCCAAAGAGAAAAAACAAGAAAATGGCAGTGGAGATATGTTGAACATACATACACGAAACCATAGTAGCGTTTATTGCCATTTTGTGGAACTACTGCAGAGAGCTAGTAGTTATATATTTAAAAAGGATACTATCATTTCATATTAGCAGCAGTGCAACTATTTATACTGAGGAAATAAACTAAATTTCTGAAGTAATTTTAAAATGATGTTATTGAAATATGAAATATATGCAGTATCTCTTATAAAGCTTGATGTTTCTAATATTTTAAATGCAAAAAATTTATCTCTTATTGTATGTTCTCCTTGTTGCTATTTACGTTAAGTTTCCTAATCAATTTAATTCACTTCAGAATGACAATAAAATGAAAAATATTACATTGAGTACAATGATCACGTCTCATGGCGATGTCATTGCCAGGTTCAATTATGCTACGTTCGTATTGCATATTAGAAACTCATTAGAGCTCCTGGCAGAGCAGATTGTCCAGCATACAAACAACCTTGTTAGCTGGCAGACAACAGAGGATACTTGCTGCACTTATCTTTTACTGTAAGGACTACCAGGTGTAGTTGTAGTTTAGTTGGACAATGTAATGCAATCTGTTATTGGTTCTCGTGATTGAAACGTTTATGCTGCACAGTCTCTTGTTCCATTTTACGTGCACCACATGTAATGTAAATCAATGCCGCAATGCTTTTGTGCATCTGGAATGAATGTGCTTTAAATGACCTTTGTCTGACGTAAATTGAGTGAATTTCCAATTATCATTCGACATTTATGACATGCAATAATATAAACCAAACCAAACCAGACCAAACCAAGCCAAGACGAGCACTTAATGTCTGTGATAATAATATAATTATTAATGTGATGATTGAGGCAAAGATGAGTTTAATTACACTTAGCTTAAGGCATTAGATTACTTCTACCAGTATGAACTAAGTTTAATGGATTTAATTCTCTTATTTGCGTTGTGCTTTAAATCTTATATAAATGGGCAATAATGCATTGTAACCATTTTCTAAAATATTTCAGATTTGTATTTTAATAAATTATTGTCAAATTCAATTAAAATTCATTAAATTGAAAGTTGTGGTATTTGTGAAATTTAACATGAATAAGTGGAAACATAAGGCATATACCCTAATAGGTTTATTTATATTGATATATTGACATAGTAGAAATTGATATATGCATGTTTAATATAAATATTGAAATACAATCTAAAATATTAATTTTAATAACGCAAAATATGTAAACTATAAGCTACTAGTATAAACTAACACTACTTTTTGTTTATCAATTATAATGATATTAACTATTTTATAAATATTAAATTTATTAAATGTACAATAATTAATTTCAAATAATAATTTAATTTTACATACTACTTAATTTATTTAAAATAATAATATTATTTTAAAATTTTGGTTAATTTATGTTGTTCCAAATTATGAATATATTCATGAAATAATACTAATATCTACAATTCCGTAGTAACAAGTTACTGAGGCAATATAGCTGTAATGAATTGTATATAAATTATATATGAATAAAAAATAAAATGGTTACACCCAAAAATATATTGTGCTACTATATACTAGTATAAATCATATGTACTTTCTCGCAACACAAAAGAACATATAAGGTCGCAGTGCTTCTCTCAGCAAGAAGCTAGTTCCCGGTATTTAAGCTATGCTACTCTATCCAATTCTGTTGTCATTATTGAAAGTGATAAATGTCGCCATGGTTTAACGTTTCCCGATATTATGTATTACCTAAGATGTTTTTGTCTTTTCAATATAAGTACGTCACATTTCATAACATATATCAGATGAATTGGCAAAACCGATAATCAATGAAGATATAAAAAAATTAATATGTAGTTATTAATAGTAAGTACATAAAGTAACGTAACCATTACTAAAGGTGTAATTAATTCTTGACCCGTAAAAATTTTATAAATCAATTAAAATTTGAAAAATTTGAGATATATCACTCTCCTCTTTGATTAACATCAATTGAATATATCTTCTCAGAAAGAAAAAAAGTGCGAGTAATGTATAATTACAATTTCTTTCATTAGCAACTTTAGTTTTCTAGTTAATTGTTATAATAGATCATTTCTTTTGTAAGCATATCACAAAAGTACAACCGCTTCTTTTAAAAATAACATATGAAACATGGTTGCCAAGACTAAAAATTCGTCTATTGTGAACGATTTTTGGAAGTACGCATAATATTTGCTGTTAACTGTAAACAAATATTTGGCAAACAGTTCTCAACTCCTTTTTATTTACTAAAATTAAAAAATTATACTTAATTAATGAAAAAGCCTGAAAATACAAATTTTATTTACAATTATGTAAAAAATAAAATATTCTTACCTATAATTACAAAAAATTCTTAATCATTTTCAAAACTTTAACTTTAAATTTTATTACGTGTTTTGCATAAATAAGCCAAACAAAATTTTCGGTTCTTCCAGTGTTGTCATCAAAAGTAATGCTATTTGATATTGTTCTTTTGCGATATGCTTACAAAAGAAAACGCCTAATACTAGATTCTTTTCTCTATCCTCTTCTCTTCTCTTCTCTTCTCTTCTCTTCTCTTCTCTTCTCTTCTCTTCTCTTCTCTTCTCTTCT